GCATCGCTATGCGGATTCGTCGTTAAACAGTGCGCTCATTATGCAAGGCACCACTGTATAGCAAACAAAATGCAAGAATAATATAATACTGTATATACTCGAGTATGCCTAGTTTTTCAGCACAATTTTTTTGCTGAAAAAAGCACCCCCTCAGCTGATACTCGAGTCAGTGTCAAAATTACATGTTCTCCCCTTCAGTGCGGGTGTTCTCTGGACTCCCCTGCTCATCTACAGGTGCCTGCAGCCTCTGTGGGTGGTCCGATGACCCAGGTTAAGTACACTGCATTTCCACTTCCAGGACACTCCCATCCTCCTCCTTCTGCATATTCTATATGCCCAGCTTCCTCCTCCATCCTCCATCTCCCTCCATCTTGTTGCACAGCAATAGAGCAGTAGATAAGTGCAGCATCCAGTATGAGTCCTCCCTCCACAGGCATAGAAGTGTGACTCAAGTCAATAAGTTTTCCTCTCTTTTTTGGTGGTGGTAAAATTGGGTGCCTTAGCTTATATTCGGGTCAGCTTATACTCAAGTATATACGGTAAATGGAGAGAAAACTAATCAATGTCAGATTTCTAAAGGAACACACCAAGGATGTCCACTGTCACCCCTGTTGTTCATAACAACTTTGGAGGTACTACTAAGGAAAATAAGAAAAGAGAAACAAGTTAAAGGTTTAAAAATTGAAAAGCAACACTTTAAAGTAAGAGCCTTCATGAATGATACGGTAATCTTTCTGGAAGACCCACCATGTAGTATTATAAAACTTAAAGAAAAAAATCAGTGACTTTGGAGAATGAGCAAGTTTAATTATAAATGAAGGAAAAACTAAGATACTGACAAAAATATGACAGGAAAAGAAGAGAAAGAATTAGAAATTAAGACAGGTTATAAAGTAGTGAATAAAGTAAGATACCTGGGTATAACAATAACTAAAAAAGACAAAGGACTTATTTGAACGAAATTTTGAGAAGAAAGGGAAAGAAAGAAATTAAGAAAAATTTAGAAAGATCGAAAACTCATTGATGGGCAGAATAGCAATTATCAAAATGATTTCGTATTCCTATTTCAGAATATCCCAATAATAATAAATAACAAACCATTTCATTTGTGGAGAAAACAATTCTCAAATTTTATTTGGCAGGGAAGAAAACCAAGAATAAAATTGAAATACTTGCAAGACGACAAGAAGAGAGGAGGTTGGGGTCTCCCAAACCTCCAATTATTTTATGAGGAGGCAGCACTACAATGGTTAAGAGAGTGGATAAGACTGGAGGATGAAAAAAATATTAATACTAGAAAGCAAAGATTTAAAATATGGAATCCATGCATACTTATGGTATGGAAAAAAAGAAAGTGAACAAAGCTTTTGATAATAATATAAGAAAAGCATGAAGACTATGGGAAAAATATAAAGGGAATTTTTATCATGGGATTCCAATGTAGATGTCTCCCTATGAAGCTCTCTCAAAGGAAATTGACATAAAGAATGATAAATGGTTAAAATATAAATATCACTCATAGAAAAAGATGATGGACAACTAAGATTAAAGTTATTTTGGCTATGTGCTAATATTGCGAAAATTATTTACTTATTTTTATAATTTCTTTTTAAAATGCAATAAAAATTAAAAGTTAAAAAATTAATTATTTTTAAATGATATAATTATTTATTTCCTTAAGTAAAGTAAAAAAAGCAAAAATTGCCTGTTCTTTGTTAAAAAAATGCAAATACAAGATTTTAAATAATGAAATCATTGCTTTGGATTCATGAAATATAATTCATCCTTGGAATGTAAAATGCATTATTTCAGGCTAATTGATTTAATTAAAATAGTTCACTAATTTTAAATTTTATTTGTGTATGTATTAGTAATTCAGAATTAAAATTATTGAAGATGATTAATATAATCAAGGTACAGATTTTTTAAAAAACAGAAAGAAAAGTCCTCTCACCTTTTATGGCTATTTCAAAAACAGCTATTTTCGGGGAAGTCGGTAATTTTGGAGAAGTGGGAAGCAGCTGGGATGTTGGCAAAATTGCCCCACACGCCCTAGAGAGCACAAGGTGTTAAGGGTTGTTGGGGACATGAGGGCTTGGCTGCTACAGGGACATATCTGTGTGTCAGTAGCTGCACTTTGGCCAGCCCTGAAATAGAGACTGTGTTTAAGTACAGTGGTGCCTCGCATTACGACGTTAATTTGTTCCAGTGAAATCGCTGTAGAACGGAAATGTCGTAATGCGAAAATAAAAAGCCCATTGAAACGCATTGAAACCCCTTCAATGCGTTCCAATGGGCTGGAAACTCACCGTCCAGCGAAGATCCTCCATAGGGCGGCCATTTTCGGTGCCTGTGCAACGAGGAATCCGTCCCAGAAAACAGTGGAGAGCCATTTTGTTTACCCGGTGGCCATTTTGAAACCACTGATCAGCTGTTCTAAAATTGCGAAGAATCGGTTCCCGAAGCAGGGAACTGATCATCGCAAAGTGAAAAAAACCCATTCAGACCATCGTTTTGCAATCACAATTGCAATCGTAAAAAGATCATCGTAATGCGGTTTCATCGTAATGCAGGGCAATCGTAAAGCGAGGCACCACTTAGGGCTGTCCTTTGTCAAGTAAAAGACAGAGACACCCTACTATTAAAAACGTGTTCTACTGCATTGATACATCTTCTGGATTTGTTAAGCTTTCTTTGTGCTTTGTGTAAAGAAGATTTCTTTATGTGTGCATTTTCTCCTCAGAAAAAAGCCCAGCAGAAAAAGGCTCCCCGACCAAAACCACCACCCCCTCCAAACTGTGTGGCCACTTGGGCAAGCTGCAAGCCATCTTCACGTCCCTGCTGTGATTTCTGTGCTTTCTGTTACTGCCGACTATTTCAGACAGTCTGCTACTGCCGAATGGGAAACCCAAACTGCTAAGCTGGAAGCAAGAATGCCAATGAGACTCTGTCTCTCGTTAGACTCTTTAATATATCTTCTAGGCCTTTTTGTCTCTTGCTTATTATTGCAAAGGAAGCTGAGAAGCTTTGAAGCTGGCTAGCTTGCAGGCCTTGGCTTCCCCATAACTGTATATGGGATATGCCTCATGGGGTTAATTCTGTCATAAGCAAGGCATTCGCTGCCATTATGAGCATGACAGGGAAAGGGAAGACGTGAGATGGCAGGCTAACAGCAAGAAGCAGAATTTACATGCAGAGAACCAGGTTGCATTTCAAGAGGGAATTATGTGTCGCTTCAAAAATTTGCATTTTACTATACATTGCAGTTCTGAGTGAAAAACATCAGCCCCTGACTAGCTGCAAAAATGTACTCTGGGGAAAATGCTACAGATACAAAAAAAATCAATAAAAAGACAAGGAAAATATGGTGCAGGTGAAGATACGTTATTATTCAGTGTTCTCTAATTACTTTTTTTATCCATGTTAAAGAATGAAGCAGGAATGGGAAACATTTTTCTGTCCAGGAGCCAAATGACTTTTTCATAACTGTGCATATACAGTATATGTGTGTATGTATATATAGATACATATATATACCTCTACCTTACCCCCACCACATTTCTCCCTCTGTTTCCTCCCTTCCTTCTTCTCTCTCCACATCTTCTCTGGCCTATGGAGGAGGAGAAGCAGAGGGAACTGTATTACAGGAAGAAAATGATATTTTCTTCCAACACCAGTTTGCTTCACTTTTATGCTGCATTTCCTCTTACAATGTTCAACACAGCCCTCCCTCTGTGCTGCTCAGATGTTCTGTTGAGATGCAAGAGGAGAAATTAAATGGGTGGAGCTTGGATACAGACCAGCAGGTTTGATGGGATACTATTGCAGGCTGGAGGAGAGGAGAGGAGAGCTGTTTCCCCGAAAATAAGACCTAACCTGAAAATAAGCCCTAGTATGATTTTTCAGGATGCTCGTAATCTAAGCCATACCCCAGAAATAAGCCCCAGTTAAGTGAAACTCTGCCCTCCACCATTGTGCAGCATTGTGCAACAACCAGAAGATATGACTGTAAAATAAAACATCCCCTGAAAATAAACCTTAATGTGTCTTTTTGAGCTGTGCAGCGACATATTGAGCCAAGTCCTAAAGGTTACGCAGTTCCTTCTCATGCCTTCAAGTGTTCAGGAATGACTTTTGAAATGCAGAAACTTTTCTATCCGTGTAGACTCCCCACTATACAAGTTAACATTTGAGGGAATAGTAGTAGCTATGCAACTTCCAAGGACTGAGCATAGTTGAAACAATCATGTTGACTGCTCATGTGAGTAGTTCTTGTAGACCACTGGGAAATGCAAGGGACTTCTTCAGCTCTGTAACAGGAGACAAATGGAATATATATTTTATTAAATAAAGCTTAGTGACTGCATGCCAGACTTGCCAGTGAAACAGATCGACTAACAAACCTGTGAGCTTTTCTACACACTTTGAGGACAGTGCAGGAAAATATTAGTTTCTAAAAACCTGGGGAGGAACAGAAGACTCCGGAAGAAATACTTCCCTCAAAGAGTCACACTTGAAAAAATTCTTCAAAAACTGGAGGATTTTGAACAGCCAAAGGTCCTGTGCTAACAATACATAACTGTATAGGAGGACTGGACAATGAATTGAAGACCACTGAGGTGATTTAGAAAACAGCTTCTATACAAAAGGTGAATTTTAAAAAATGCAAGAAGCTACCAAGAAGTGGAGAAACATTTATTTGCTCAGAAGAAACATTGTAAAAGGGAAATGTGTTTATTGTGGGAAAGGGAGTAGCAAAGGGTTGGGTTTGAATAGATGAATATTCAATGAATGAAAAGGAAACTCCAGTATATAAAAAGGAATAGACTAGAAATGTGTAATTGATTAGGAGAGCTGGCCCAAGGCATTTTGCTGCCTCTGATGAAGCAGTTCAATGGCATTCCCATGTAGTGCATAGAACTGAAGGCGAACTAAATTATTTTGGCAACTGAGACGGTAAATTCCTTAAGTACCTCTATTTTTTCCCTGGTAGGAAAAATAATTAATTGGTTCCGTATTTAGTTATATGACAGTGAGTGAATCAGATCCACTCCTTTCTCACAGAATCACCTCACAGTCACCCTCAAATGCTATAGAGATGGATGAGGAAGCCCGCTGAAGAAGATAAGGCTGTAGTGTCTGTCAAAGGGTGGGAATTCTGAAAATAAGGTGGAAGCACCCTTCATGAGTGGAACCACTCCCATCTATAAAAGGCAGATCCTGAATCTAACCCATTGTGTTGAATCCAGTTTAGCCATTCCAGGTATGGAAAGCTTCCTTTCTCAGAAAGTACCCGAGTCCAATAGAAGTTTCTTTCTTGGAGGAGGGATGGGTGAGGAGATTATCCTCAAGCCAATTCATTTCCTTAGTGCAGCCCCCAACACCCCTTATGCTATTCTGTTCAGTCCTCCAGCCTTCTACAGCAGCTTTTCAAAAGGTACAAGCAGGTTCAGGAAAAAAGAAGTAATATCAAAGCTCACCTTCCTACCCCCTCCTCCTGTATGAGAGGAATTCAACTAGACACAACTGTGGACCCCCCCCAAAAAAAAATTAAATAGTCAGTTGCTATGCTTTCAAGCAAGTTTATGTTCAAAATCCTACGAGGTTGGCTTCAGCAGTATGTGGACAGAGAACTCCCGGAAGTACAAGCTGGATTTCGAAGGGACAGAAGAACTAGAGACCAAATTGCTAACATGTGCTGGATTATGGGGAAAGCCAGAGAGTTCCAGAAAAACATCGACTTCTGCTTCATTGACTATGCAAAAGCCTTTGACTGTGTGGACCACAGCAAACTATGGCAATTCTTTAAAGAAATGGGAGTGCCTGACCACCTTATCTATCTCCTGAGAAACCTGTACACGGGGCAGGAAGCAACAGTTAGAACTGGATATGGAACAACTGATTGGTTCAAAATTGGGAAAGGAGTATGACAAGGCTGTATATTGTCCCCCTGCTTATTCAACTTATATGCAGAATACATCATGCAAAAGGTAGGACTGGATGAATCCCAAGGCGGAATTAAGATCGCTGGAAGAAATATCAACAATCTCAGATATGCAGATGATACACTCTGATGGCAGACAGTGAAAAAGAACCAAAGAACCTCTTAATGAGGGTAAAAGAGGAGAGCGCAAAAAATGGTCTGAAGCTCAACATAAAAAAAAATGAAGATCATAGCCACTGGTCCCATCACCTCCTGGCAAATAGAAGAAGAAAATATGGAGGCAGTGACAAATTTTACTTTCTTGGGCTCCCTGATCACTGCAGATGGTGACAGCAGCCACGAAATTAAAAGACACATGCTTCTTGGGAGGAAAGAGGTGACAAACCTAGACAGCCTTTCTGGGAATCATGTGCAAAATTAAGTAAAGAGAATTGTCCTCACACTTTGAGAACAAAGTGGCCTAGAAAATGTAGATATATACTGCTAAGCCAGCCTGGAAACATTTGTTTTCATCCCTTTGGTCTTTTTCTCCCTCTCCCGCACGACCCACAACTCAAGGGCAGCAGTCAAGACGAAGGCCAGATGTGCTTAAGAAAAAGCAAGTGGAGGTCAGGTCTGTTAGCCCAATCCTCTATGAAGTTAGGAAAAAGAGAAAAAACAGGAGAGGGTCTTTAAACAGTGACAGGCGAAGTTTCCATGCACATTCCTCTTCTGCTACTCCTCTATTGGCTGCCATAAATCTTACAAGGTTGGATTCTATTAAAATGCCCATAACTGCTACATTTAATCACGCCTACAGAATTGAGGATCTGTAATTAATTTGCTTAAGAGGAAAAAACCAAAAAGATGAGGTTTCTCATGTTGCAAAGGGGGCCTGATTCAGCCAACGCCATTCAGATCTGATGCTTCCAGCAGTAAAGCAGCTCCAGACTTATGACAACAGAATGTAGATTTTTACTGCAGGATGTTTGCCCTGTTGTCTGAAACATGAAAGTATTGAGAGCTTTAAAAAATAAAAAACTCATTTGACTTCAGTAGTAGAAATTTCTTCACCCATTTTGCCAAACAACAACATTCTTGCCTTTCAAAATAGCTGAGGTTTAAAATAGCAAGGAACCTTGTAATAGGGTTTGTTCAGCAAACTTTATCCAAGTCTAGCTGGGAGGGCTCATCTCCAGATGTTCACTGAAAAGGGTAATAAAATTGCCGCACTAAAATTAGGAATGCATTGGGGCAGCTGGATTAGCAAAGAACAAGACATGAAAAAATATGGGCTTTTATTTTCGGTGTACATTTATGTAGATGATCACAGAGGAATAGAAAGGCAATTGCAAAGAAGTCAACAAGCAGATGTCCGAGCCAGCGGAGCCTAAAGGCAATGCCTTGGGAACTCTTTTATTAACTTAGCATGGGTTACAGTGTATGTTGTGAGAATTCAGATAGGATACTGGTCACCTAATCACCACTACAATTGGCCAGAGAAAGTCTTTGAACTTATGATCTAACTCTAAGGGGAAAGGGCAAAATGAGTAGGTTACTCTGCCCGCTGACAGGAGAGTTTGCTCTCACTGAAACAGATAACAACTAACGGCCTTGGGCAGAAGTTTCCCACACATTTATGCCACAAAAGCTGGATGATGTCATCATTCAGTGACAGATTTCTTTTGTTTAATGTAATTAGAACCTTCCTATCTCCACCTCTTTCGAGTTCTCTTTTGCCATTGAGAAGCCTTCCGGAGCCTTAGGATGAGGGGGTGGAAGCCTTAAGTATTGAAAAAATTGCCTCTGGATTGCTCTTGGTGGTCTTAATCTGGCAGCAGGACCTCCAGCTATGATATTTTTTTCTATATTAAATGTCCGCATCCCAAGACTCAAGCCCTAGGGAGCCTCAAAACTCAAAAGGGGTGAAAGGAAGCTTTCAATTAATGAAATTTCTCATTATCAGATGATGACATCATCTGGCTTGTGCTGCATAAATTTACGCCACGAGGATTTCTGCTAGAGAGGATGAGAACAAAGGTAGCTGTGACAAGTTCATGCACCATTATCATTCTCAAAAATAACACCTGAAGAAACCCTTGACGTAAAAGGTGTATCTCCTATTTGTCTTTCAGATGAAGGAGAAGTAGATAAATAATATCAGAATGAAGAAATGTTCCTTAAGGTAAAACTCATTCAACTGAGGTACAAACAGGCAGCAGATTTTGTGGGAATATTGCAACTTCATATCATGCCTTTGAGAAGTTTGGGCTGGGAGGGAGCTGCAGTGATTATCAGTCAAATCAGTAACAGCCAACTCAGATTTTTTCCCCTGCCTTTTTTCCAGGCAGGGTTCAGTTAGTGTTCTGTCAGTGTTAGAGTTATGGAGTCAGAAATGAGGTGTTCTGTCAGCAATAGTCAGTTAGTTAATAATGAAGTAAATTAAGTAAAGCTCAGTAATGTTATGAGTCAACATTTCCACAAAATATGTTTGTTTTTGTATAAGAAGAATCGTAATTAAAATGAAACCTTTTATTCTTATTCATAGCAGAGGCTCTGAATGAATGTATTAAAACAAATCTCAGTTGAGGTAAACTAACAAATAAGACATGATGTACTAAGGGAGATTGAAGTGCAATTTGTTCTGTAGGTTTCTGGCCAAACTAATTTATCTGCTCCTTAAGAAGATGATTTTTATTTTAATTAAAGCCACACTCAACAATTTCCTCACACCAACTCTGCCAAACCCCAACAAATTTTTGGTGTCATGAAAGCAGTAAATGATTAACTCAATTGTGTATTGTTATTTGTAAAAGGACATGATGGATTTTCCACCTCATGTGCCAAAATAACTTGAAGGACTTTTGGTACTCTGTGTCTTAACTTTGATATGTAGTGCCATTATTTGCTACTGTACCAGAAGTAGCAAAATGTATTAGACCAGCCCTGAACCAGGCA